ACTAAAAGGAACACCGACACAGCTTCAACCAGCATCAGACTTCCTGGTAATGCCAGCACAGCCAGGTCTGACTCACCCCCTACACAAGAACCTAAGAATTCTCATATGTTATGTATCAGGAAAAGCTTACAATCAAAAGGATTTACCACAGGGACTATAGATATTATACTAGCATCATGGCGAGAGGAAATGAAGGCTCAATATCAAACTATGGCTAACAGATGATTTGAATTTTGTGAGAAAAAGAATTGTGACATTATTTCACCACCTTTGACATTACCCCTTGAGTTTTTATCAGATATGTTTAAATCATGTTTATCGTATAGTTCTATTAATACTGCCAGAAGTGTGTTGTCTTTTTGCTGTAGGTCAAGATTATTATCTCATCAATATAATAAGACAATAATGTGAATCCCCTTTGTATCAATTTGAATACGGTATTTATTCGAATAGGCCTATGTATATACATATATATTTGCATAGCACACTCATTTTGGGTTTGTGCACTCTTGTATTCATAATCAGTGTACCATGTCACACAGGGCTGACCCAAGCCATGTTTGAGTCTGTCGTGTGTTTCATTCTTGAAATCCTGAGCTGCACTGATGAGATCTAACAACATCGAAACGGTACTGTCTGCAGATTGGAATATATATATATATATATATATATATGCCTATATATACATTCTTAAAAAAGTCATTTGCCTTGAACACACGATCAAGATTATTAGAATACAAAGGAAGGTAATATTATCAATGATGAAATGTTTAATGACAAAATATAAAATCAATCAATATGGATAAATTTAATTAAATAGTAGGCCTAGTAGTAAAGCTTTATTTATCATATAACTTAACTATTTATATGCTGGTTTTCTTTATGGCCGTGATGAAAGAGAAAAAAAAATATATAAATCAAATGTTTGAAAAATACAATATGAAGGAATATTAGTATATAATCAATATAAGTATATCATACGACGGTTTAGGGGCCGTTTTATAAGTAAAAGATTAGAAATAAATTACACTTTGTATCAACTCGTACGCAGTTACTATGCCGCCCTCTTTTGTCCTTGCTACAGCGTTATAATTCATGCTATTTTTGGCACCCAAACACTCGCTGGAAAAATGCAGTCACTTCCAGACACAAAGGAAAAAACATAGGCCTACTAAAATATTTGGTGGAAATGACCAAAAATAGAAATACGAAACAAGGCTCCTAATTCGTTACATTAATATAGGGTAGACTTGCTAACCAACCTTAAATGTAATACAAAACACAAAATGACAAAATAGTTATGACTAGGGCTTACCTGCACCATTGAAATTGGAGCACTCATGTAAAATTAAAAAGATTCTAATTGAATATGCAATATATTTATATAGTTGATGAAAGAGAGTTGTATTTAAATGTAAAAAATAAATATGTCAACGGTATAACATAGTATTAATAGTTTTTCTTGATATAGGCCCCTACCTGTATTGTACAGTGAAACCTTAGGTGAATAAGTACATATCTTAGGCTCAACGCCCCAGAATACGTGATAACTTGCGGCCTAACGCATCTGAAATAGAGAACTGGGGTGGTAGGAGGGACGAACAAAAATGTCTTGAGTGCATTCTTGTTGGAAGCTAGAGGAAAAAGGGCAGAGGCGGGAGTGACATAACCGAACGAAATTTGAGCGCTGGAGGAAGGGCGCGATATGTTCACTAACCATGTCGTGGTTTCGGTGCAGATCTGTCTTTCTTTTGTCTTTAACTTCGAAAAGCCTCCTTTTTATGTAAGTACATTTGAACATGAATGAACGATCTACTGGTTGTCATCTATTAAAGCTCCACCAAGTTCTGTATTGAGCTGAAGTTTGTCATAAGCATTATCCTCACCTGACGACACAGTCCCACACCTTACCGATAAATCTCCACATACGATTGTCTTTTGGCGGCATATGATCTCCAGCATTCAGCTTGCCAGAGTCGTTGGCTGAACCCATGTTGTGTTTTCCAGACGTAGAATGAACTGCAGCTATTTAGCATATTGTAGATGTCGTCATGATCTTGTTGACGATCCCTTACAGGAAACATTGTATTCGTTACCAGTATTTTCTTTGCCTGAATGAATGTCAGTATCGGTAATGGAATCATGTTTTTTTTCTTGGAGAAGATGTGAGTTTACATTTTCATATGATGCACCGTGCGACGCGCCGTCTGGCTCTCTTCTACACTGCTGCGACGCTTGTTGTATGTCAGCGTACTGTACATTAAGTGTATCGTCGGCTTCGTATATACCTTGCTTTAGGCCTACTTGCTCTTTTCGTCCTTTTGAGCTTTTATTCGGCACCGGATACATAACAGCACTTAATCCGTTTTGTTTCATAGCTATCGAATCCATGTCTTCGGCAATGAGTACGGGGCGCCAAACGACACACTACCTGTTCTCAGGGGTGGCGCCAGGATTTGCCCGACGGGGGGGGGGGCGAGGTCCCCGACGAGGGGGCCGATGCCTCCGGCGAGGGGTCAGATTTCCCTGACGAAAGCAATGTGGGCGTGGTCGAGCTTCGATTTCGAAAGTAGTCCAGGGGTGGAAGCCCCCTAAAATTTTAACAATTTAGGAGTTTCAAAGGCTTATTTATTCGATTTTAGAGTCTACTAATAATGTAGAAAATACATCATGTTTTGTAATATACGAAAGTTATTCTGTCTTTACAAAACATATTTTTTAAAAGACAAAACCATGTTTGTCTGTACAAAACATAGGTCTATCTTGTAATAGACAAAAGCATGTTTGTCTGCACGAAACATGTTTTGTAAAAGACAAAACCATGTTCGTCTGTACAAAACGTGTTTTGAAAAGACAAAACCATGTTAGTCTATACAAAACATGTTTTGTAATAGACAAAACCATGTTTGTCTGTACTGTCTAATACATTTAGTTGGTATCTTGAGTTAACAAGAGACCTATGTAGTATGATTAATTTCGACCTTATCGGAAATGTGTATTTCTTGTAATCCCTGAGTATAGGTTTGTAGGGTTTTCCCCTAGTGTTTACAGGTAGTGATATTGCAGAAGCTCGGATACATTGTGTATACATTACATTCAACTACTCTGTAAGTTAATCATTGCAATACTACACGTATTGTAGTTTAAATTATAATGTATATCTGGCAGATGTTGATGTGACGTAATTAAGAAAAAATAACAATAAAGCCTATATACGATAAAGGCACATCCATGCACAATTATCTATACGCAAACTATTTTTTTTAATTGTCTTACTGCTTCTTAATTTTTTCTATTATGAAATCATTGTTTATGGGTTTTTTATATTTACAAAATATGTTTTAGTTACATAGTAATGAAGAAAAATACCAGTATAAAACGATAACATAATGATTTTTACTTAAAACTTAGTTTAACATTTAATCAAACAACCGATAAATCAATCAAACATCATAGCCTAAATACGATATAGTCTTAATTGAGTTAATTGAGTCAAGCTATACTAAAGTATAGTTAATATCATTTCAACTCATTAAACGCTGGTGATTGCATTATCAACCACAAAGCATCTATGAGCAAAACATTCCGCTGATTTCAACCAATTATCTGCGGATAAAAATTTGGTTATTTGCTTATGTTCTCATTGTGCTTACGCATCAATTTCACTGTAATCCTCGCTAAACTGAACCACGCTTCCTTTCCCACTTTCTTCACTCCCAATGAACACTTTCTGGAAGCGACCTGAGTCTTTGTGACTAAATGATTTGGAACTGCATGATGGAGAAGTCTGACCACCAACCATGGCATGTGAAATTCCTTTTCGGTTTCCAGTTCGTTTGCCTCTGTCAACGGCTGGTAAGATAAAACATATAATGGAATGTCAAAATAAACGAGTACCTATCTAGTGTGGAGTAAGAGTAGGATTATTTTTGAGTGAATCACTCCAAGTATAAACCGCCAAATTTTTGGGGAAAAATTAGTGTTTCTGTAGTCAAAAGCTACGTATTTGATTATTTATTACTGTTACACAATAATATATAGGCCAATACACAGATGACCCAAAAAGGGTTCTGGGCCTGTTGCCAACTCCTTCTTTCAGCTTAGGCCTACCTGAATTCTGGTATACCACTTCAACTGCGGTATCGTGGTACACCACCTCAACTGCTGTATTATGGTACAGGTATTCATTGTTGCCTTTTACATCCTGGTACACAACCTCGTCAGCTGTGGTTTTCTGGTTTTTGACAACAGCGTTATGTATCGCATACTCGTGTACATCTTCAGCTACATAGTCTTGATATACAACTTTATCTACGGGTTTTTCATATCTGTACAAAAACAAAGTACCAACGCGTTAAGCTTGACCAATAAAAGGTCCAGGGTGGTGTCCAGTGTTGTTCATAATACAGTAACATCATAGGTATTAGATGTTGCGAAATTACTAAATTACCTCTATTACTATTTCAGTTTATGAGGATGTATTGAATTTATTATTTCAGTAAATCCTACAATATTTACTATAATGATATAACAATTCCATTTAGAAAGCACGGCCCCCGCTATGAGCTTACACCTAATAATGAAACATAAATTAATGTTACAAAAATATATTACAACAAGGTGTGGTGAAAAATAAGTGATTTTGTTATTATTAGATAGTGGAATACTTTATTAAATATACTACTAATCATGTGTGGCGCCAGGGCCCCTTTGGGGAGAGCTCCCCCACCTCCCCCGTCGGGTAGAAAAACCACAATTCGTCTGGGAGAAAAACATATATACATTTATTTTTACATATTAGTATACCCCAAAAACGATTATTAAATAAGCATTCTAAATTGTCATATTTGTCGGTGGCTTCGCCCACTGGAACACTTTCGAGAGATTTTTTTCGTCGTGGTCATCGTCCCCACCCCCCCCCCCGGGACCTCGGACCCCCAGTCGGGAAAATCCTGGCGCCAAAACTGCTACTAATTTTATGCAAAGGGAATAGGCCTATTTGCCAATTTAATATGAATAATATCAATAATAATAATTATGAATATTCATATGACAGTATATTAATACTATAAATAATTAAATAATAATAATGGTTATAATAATGATGTTGATGATGATGACAAAGACGATGCCGTGACTCCGCCAACGCTAAAGACACTGACAGTGACAACGACAATGGAAAGGGTTAATGATATTCATAATCGTAATCATAATTATTAATTAACAATAACCATAAAAATAACCAAACCAAATGAAAATCGTTTAGATCCTAACAGAGTACTGTGATAGCATCATTACCCTGGTTTTGTTCTTCTCTGCTTGCGTCGGATTAACAAGTAACTTAGTAAAATGATTGCGATTGTGACAACGACACTTGACGCTATAGCAGCAACAATCCACAAGTTAGGAACTGCCTTCATTTCTGATAGTGTTTCCTTTGATGGATGCATAAATCCAACTGAAGTGTATTCTGATGATGTGTTTTCTGTAACGAAAGATTGAGTGGCGGTGGGCCAAATATGACTTGTCTGGTGTACCGGTATTGTTGATGTTGGCATTTTTTCGGTGGCCCCTGGCACAGGACATATTCCTCTATGCACGTCTATAACATGATTTTAAAAAAGAAAACACCATTATTATATGTCAGTTTAGCTTGATTTTGTTGTTTCTTTGAATCTAATATAGGTTCGATTACAGTAATAAAAATACATCACATAAATCACGTAAAAATGTGTAACATCTCAGAAATATATCGGTATCTTGAAGGACACAAAAATAAGCATGTGCAGTTTTATTATGGTCTATTATTTACGTGTGAATAATTGTTTCTTCAAATATTTAAAAAAAGAAAGTGACAAACAAGTGACAATTGAATAAGCAAACATTCTTTTACTTGAGAGGTAGGCTAAAATGGTTGTCAACCCCCACCCTTACAACCAACTAGTAAAACATCGTTGCAGTCGGTATTTCTAATGTCTACACTACTGTTTATGTATGGTAATTTTCATGTCTTGTTTGATATATTTTTTTGTACAATTTAGTTATATCATTGTTTTTTATTGAAAGTTGTAATGGCAACGCATCCCATCCTTGTGTAGTCTATAATTTGTAAAAGAAATTACAAAATTTGAATTCTAGCATAAATGAACATATGAGAAGTAATATTACGTTGTTTCAACCTCCTCCTTCAAATTTACCCACCTCTCCCCCTCTACACCGATGGCATTACTTACCCGTGACCTCGCAAACGATGGTGTCTACCATACGAGTTGTGGCGCAATCGATATTTGTAATGTTCACATTATCAATAATTATTGAATCCCATACTGTAATTGTTGCGCATCCCATAATTATGTCATCGCGAGGCGGGTTTTGCACATGAACATTAAATGCAATATCTTGAAAGATTTTTAGGATATATAGCAGATTTTCTGTCAACTGCACGTACTCGTCGAAGCTGTTTATTACTGTGATGTTGCCGCCTATTTGTTCGCATTCACGCTGAGCATCAGTACATGATCGGCCTCTCCTTTCCATCATCATGTATTTGTAGCAGTTTGGTGATTTATATATATTATCTTCTGTAAACATGAAAGTGAGATGTTTTTCTTCCATCTAATTTAAATTTTCAATTGTGTAAATAAATGGACACAAAATTCTAATCAAATTATGAGTCATGATGTCTAAATCTTCATCTTTTCTAGGATTACCATAAAACTTCCAATAATAACCCATTACTCTATTAGTAGCCCCTTCTTGTAACCCACCCTAGAAGTTTATATATTGAAATAACCCACTACTCTAATTATAACCCATGGGGTTACTATTATAATAAAAAAAAACTATAGGCAAAATGACTCAAATCAACGTTTTTGTCGCTTTAACACGCTTTACTGTATTCCTTAAAATGAGCATTCGTCACAATCAAGTTTTTTTTACTCGTAGTATAGTTATGTTTATGAATTACTATTTTCAAGTGCTCAGATCAGGGGCGGCGCTAGCGGTGTCCGGGGTCAAAGAATACCCTCCCATCTGGGACCTCTGGACCCCCCGCCTGTCGGGGAATTTCCATGGCATGGTCGTCGGCGAAAAATCAAATCTCGAGCGCCGAAAGTACAATTCAAGCATACCTTACCAAGCTATCAAAATTTCAGGGATTAAAAACTGTTTAGTGCGAGCAGTGCTACCGTATGTGTCAGGTGTTGTATACTATTGCGATCGTATGGGTTGCAGTGGTGCGCCAGCTCGTCCCCGACAGGGGGATGGTACCACCGACATCCTTTGTCTAGGCTAGGCTTCCCCGATTGGGGGTGGGGGCGGGCGAATTTCCTGGCGCCACCCCTGCAAGTGCCTACATTAAGCTTAGTAA